TATTCAAGTATATTCATGTGGAGAGTTCAGAGAATGACCAGACCTAAAAAATACAATGGTTAGTGAAGCAGTTTGAAACCAATTTCGTTCAATTATATCACCATATAAACAGTTCTTTGACCTGGATGAAACTCGCATTTGAACAACATAGTTTTCTTCGCCAAATTTGCTATGTTTTATCAAGATTTGACATTCGGATAGGTCTAAAATGATGCATAAGTGACTTTTCATGTTGTTTTATATCTTTCCCACTGGTTCGCGAATATTTTTCTATACCTAAATCCACTAATAATGCCCGAACTCATATTTTGCGACCTTGGTCGCTACAAACCGTTTTTGGCGATTTCTACCCGCAATTTATAGATCGAATCTATTCAAATGAACTCAAAATACATTAATTCTAATATATAAAGGCAAAACCCTATTCAAATTTTACTTATACAGCTCCAAACGGGCTTCGAATCCCCAAAAAACTGTTCTATCTACTCCATATCCAAAAAACGCGGCAAGGCTTTTTCGATTGAGTATTTCATATGCATATATCCATGCAAAGTTGTAACTATAGCTTGAGTTAGTTGCCCTATGGCCTTAGCAAATCTATGAACTACCACATTTGAGAATTCCGATATCACTTAACGGATTTTGGCAATGATTTCTTCCAAAACCACATATTTTGAACAATTTGGAGGCTTATCGACAAAATCGCTCTTATGGCTATGCATAAATTCAATTCTTCCATATCTAATGATTGATTTCGAAAGTCTAAGGATGCCATAAACTAATCATAGTATGGGTTTGGTACTCCTGCTCGTTTTTCTTCTGGAATACATGTGTCAAATCGAGAGGAGAAATGCAGTTTTTCCATGATTTTGGAAAATTGGAAAATTGCTTCATTTAAAGTGCTGTAATTAGCGAACTGATGGTCGGATTTGGCTCAAATTTTGACTGGATTCCTAAAAAAGGTTGTAGTTTTCGAAAATGATATGGGTTTGACATTAGTGTTGCCACTTGGTGGTTAGGCTCGGGACTTATTGACCGATGTGTTATGTGTGAGTATGTGTAAAATACAGCCTGCCGCAAAACATGTTACGCTGTTGTTCTTGGGGGACCACAGGGCCCCATGGCTATTTTATATTATAACTGGACTATGATAAGAGATATCGACTTACGGTCTATGACGAAGTTGTAGTACTCAAGCTGCTCTCCAACTTTGCCGGAGACACCAAGTCGTTATCTCTTATCAGTTTCGCGGAATACGCGAGAAACCGCAAAAAACCGCGAAAAACCGCGAAAAAGTTGTAGTTCTAGTCGAGTACTACAATTATTCTGATTCATTATTCCGTTATCTCTTATCAATTACGCGAGAAACTGCAAAATACCGCGAAAAAACGCGTTATTTTCCTTATCGTTTTTTCACGGAACTGATAAGAGATAACGAAATAATGAATCGGAATAATTGTAGTACTCAACCAGGACTACAACTTTGCCTTAGACACCATCTCGTTATCTCTTATCAGTTCCGTGAAAAATGATAAGGAAAAAAACGCGTTTTTTCGCGGTTTTCTGCGGTTTCTCGCGTATTTCGCGAAACTGATAAGAGATAACGACTTCATGTCTATGGTGAAGTTGTAGTACTCAAGCTGCTCTACATTTCTGTCGAAGAGGCAAGTCTCTTACTTCTTATCAGCTTCACTAAAACGATGTGGGAAAATTTTGCGATTTTCGCGATTTTCCGCGTTTTTCGCGGAACTGATAAGAGATAAGCAATATTTGTTGCACCAAAATTATAGCAAACTTTGAGTATTACAACTTTGCTTCAGACACTAATTTGTTATCTCTTATCACAGTCCAGATTTCATATGAAGTATCTTGGGGTTCCTGGAGTCCCCCAGTTACAGTAATATGTTGCAAATATGAAGAACAGTCATAGTGTTAAGTATGGGAACAGCGAGTTGAACGAATTCAACGTATCATCTGGCGTACCACAGGGTAGTCATCTCGGACCCAAACTATTCCTCTTGTTCATCAACGACATAGTGAACGAAATGGACGGCGTGTTCATTTCCTTGTTCGCTGATGATGACAAAATTGCCAAAATCATCAACTCGAGCGCGGATGTGGAAGTGCTACAGCGGGCCATCGACAAACTGAAGGTTTGGTGCGACGTAAACAATTTGCACCTGAACCTTGACAAATGCGCCGTCCTTACAATCACCACAAAAAGAAAGGACATCATCTACACAAATTACAAATACGGTGATTTACCTTCAAACGCGTATTGGACCACAAAGATCTCGGCGTCATCATTGATGAGAAGCTTAGTTTTGTCAAACACATCGACGCAATTACATCGAGGGCGACAGCTGCCCTTGGATTCATTAGGAGATTTTGCTTCGACATAACCGACGTTCAAACGCTCAAAACACTATATTACGCATTGGTTCAGTCTCATCTTGAGTACTGCAACGTTGTAATAGGAGAGAGCGGACGCGAACTACGGCACACTGACTACTTCAAAATCAAAGACAGGCTCATGGACAAACAACTCAGAGCCCAGGTGCCTCAAATGTGCAAGCTTGCTAACAAAGTGGCTGAGCAATTCAGAAACTCAACCAGCTGTTCAAACTTCGTCTCGTCGGTACGCGGCGAGCAGAACCAAAAATTTAATATTAAATATTGACAAATGTTTTCTTACATCCTCACATCTGTATAGAAATAATGATATTACCTGTGATATTTACATGGAAATTTAGCAACATTGACTGTGATATAGCCATCCTTTGAGTTGGTGATTAACTTTTGACCGGTTATTGCTTTATAATGGAAATTATTTTCTTTCGTCAATGTATTTGAAAAACTCATTGTATTTTTCTGTCTTTCGGTCTCTACTAAATTGTAAATTTTTAACACCAACAGGGACTTGTTAGATTAGACGTAAAACTTTTCTTCAATATATCACTTCATTGATAAATTGATTGATGACTTTTACAGTCATTAAGGCCGCAACTACAATGTTAACGCTTCCACTGGCCTTTCATTTTGGATATTTAGGTTAGGCTTTTTCGGACCGTTCACATTTCGGCTTCCTACTCATTTCCATGTGTTGGTTAGGTTATTTTGTGTTAAAATGTTTATAGACCAAATACTTATTCCAATCAAGAAAGACTACTACTATAATTATCACACACTAAATTGTATGTACAAACCATGCATTATTTTAAGAAATTTCTAGAGCTGCCCATTTTCAAGACAATTTAAGTAAAACACTGCCCATTTTTGAGTTTTGAGCTGCTTAGAGCTGCCCATTTTCAAGAAAGTTTAAGTAAAACACTGCCAATTTTTGAGTTTTGAGCTGCCCATTTGGGATTTAGAACTGCCCAAATGGGCAAGAGCTGCCCATTAAAATAATGCATGGTACAAACACGAAAAGATCAGGTTTTTCACGACTCTTGGAGTCGTTTTCCTGCAAACAAAGCATTCAGCCAGTTTTTGGCGGTGTAAATAAAATAAAAATAAAATAAAAATAAAATAAAAATAAAATAAAATAAAAATAAAATAAAAATAAAATAAAAATAAAATAAAAATAAAATAAAAATAAAATACGTAGTTGAAACTAAAAATAATGTGTTGTGCGATTTCACGTTGTGATTTTCACGAATACTGTTCTTAATATTTTCACAATATAAACACTGTTTACGCCATTTGACACATACAGACAGACATTGCAAACACCGCTGACAACTTTGTGGTGAATTCAGTGTCTGTGTTTTATTACTGAGTTATAAACCATGTATTTGCGTGTTTGGCGTTTTTCGCGGATTCCGCGTAATTGATAAGAGATAAGTGATATCTGTCTTTAGCAAAAATTTAGCGAACCTCAAATACAACAACTTCGCTGACGACTCCAAGTCGCTATCTCTAATCTTAGTGGAGTTTTGGATCAAAATTCACTACGGGCACATTTTTTCCACATTACCATTTAATAGATTTCAAATTTCTTAACAAATTCGAAAAGTTACAGACCAAACTAAACTTTATAGCATTTTTTGTATGAAAAATCGTGGAAGAATCATAGTTTGGTCTGTAACTTTTCGAATTTGTTAAGAAATTTGAAATCTATTAAATGGTAATGTGGAAAAAATGTATTTCAATTAAATACGACCATCGGTGGAGTGAATTTTGTCAAACAAATGATAAATTTTCCGATTTTTCGAAAAATTTTGTCATTTTTTGTATGGAAGGTCTTAATTATTTTTCCCGCAGTTTTTGGGCAATTTCATCAATAAATGATATCCATTACCGAAAATAATGAAATTGATAGTCTAGTCCATTTATAAAAACTTCAAATATTCTCATAAACATCATTTCATGAATATTTTTTTGTAAAATAACAGAATTAATGGGAAAAAACTGAAATTTCAATGCCGGTCCCAATTAAATTTCCATGACTGTATAAGGCAGAAGGGCGACATAAGCGTACAGCACTGATGTACTGCTTACAGCGCCGAGTACTCCCGCAGTGGTGGGAAACTAAAACACACCAATCACCAATATTGATATTCACGATCATCAAATTGTTCATACTAAATTTTATCCACTTTAGGCACTCATAACCACTCATAACAATAAAATTCTTGATTATTAGAATCACATATCAAGTTGCTAACTCAAAATCAAATCGGGAAAATTAAAAGTAAATTCGGCAATTCGACGAATTACCGAACTATCAACAATGTTTGAAAAATGTTGGTAAAATGGCATTGGTAATTTTGAATTCACTGGAAAAACCGTATGTACCTATTGTTTGTCAATTAAACAACAAATGAGCGAGCGAGAGAAGGAACCACAAATATCACCAAAAACTCAATTCGAAAAAAAAACTTTCACTTGTGTGCATATTAAACGTCAAAATGTATACATTTTTTGCTGTTGATTTTTTTTTATCTCACTCCATGCCATGGTCGAAATTCACTCACATCGGATTCCATTTTCACAGGAATTCAACACTGCCATTGATGCAATTCACATGATAAATTATCTGAATTTATCAAAATATCCGATCGAACAAATGCAGAAAGACCAATTTGGAGCAAACGAAAAATGTAAACAGAGACGAACTGTCATCACGAAATTCGGGCTACTCAACAAAATCCGTCGCACAGAAAGCAGTTGTGCAGCCGTGCTGTTTGCACATCGGACTTTTTCGCATACACATCGTCGTTCATCGTGTTTCAGTACTCGGCGCTGCGAAGCAATTTTTTTGACGTCGCCCCACTGATATAAGGCGATGTCTTAGTAAATATTTTATAAAATTGAATTTATGTGCCAATTAATAGAAATTTTGTTTACCGCATTGTACCTTTTATATTTTTATACCCCTGTAGATCAAAGCATAGCAAAAATTCCTTTCAGTTTAGTGATCTATTTAATGATTGTTTCGTCTCTTTTCTTTGTAGCTCTACGAAGCTCGTATCAAATACATAAAGACGAATTTGCGGGAATTCATGACGCAGACATGCCAATTAGATACAGTGCCTGCAGAGGAATGTAAGAATGCTCGCACGTGTTATATCATGGATAGTGAAATATACTCATTTGATCTAGACAACAATGATGACTCGTAACGCTAATAATCTATTAGATAAAACATAAAATAAAAAAAATCTTCTGACTCCAATTCAACCGAAAATATTATCAAGTTAGACTTAACAAAGTTAGCATTGAATATCGTCAAAGGACAACAAAAACAATTGCCAATCGAAAGTTATTTCAAAATGTGGAACGATACGGAAATAGTAACGGAAGTAGGTATAGCAACTGCCATAACGTTGGCAATTAATAAATCTGAGCAAGATATATGTTCAACGCCCATAAAAATTCGATATCCTAGCTCGGTGATTGGAATCGATTTGGCTGTGCCACAATGGCAAGCAATTTTATTCACAATCATACTCTCATTCATCATCATTTTAACAATAATCGGAAATGTTTTGGTCATATTGAGCGTATTTACATACAAACCACTGCGAATAGTACAGAACTTCTTCATTATTTCACTCGCAGTTGCCGATTTGACCGTAGCTATTCTCGTACTGCCATTTAACGTGGCAAATATGATGATCGGCAGATGGATATTCGGTATTCATTTGTGTAAGATGTGGTTGACCTGCGATGTACTCTGTTGTACATCTTCCATTCTGAATTTGTGTGCAATAGCTTTAGACAGATATTGGGCCATTACTGATCCCATAAACTATGCTCAAAAGCGAACTGTTGAACGTGTTTTAATGTTGATTGGAGGTGTATGGATTTTATCTCTCGTAATCTCGTCTCCTCCATTAATTGGGTGGAATGACTGGCCAGACGTATTTGATAGTCAAAAGCACCCATGTACACTGAACTCGAATCCGGGATATCGGGTGTATTCAGCATTGGGTTCATTTTTCATACCATTAATAATTATGACTATTGTTTACATCGAAATTTATATCGCAACAAGACGTCGTTTACGGGAACGTGCTCGTGCTTCTCGCATAAATGCAATGAATTTAACAGCAGCTGTTGCAAGTGGCAAAGAACCAATACCTACAACGCAGCAAGATCAAGAATCAATTAGTAGTGAAACGAATCACAACGAACATCCAAAAGTAACAACTCATAAATCTAAGCACATGGAAAAACGGCGGAAAAAAGAAAAACGTAACAAAGCCAAAGACTCCATCAAGCACGAGCAAAAGCACACGGACCATTTGCTGAAGCCGATGATGATAAACGACGATTCAGCAACCGATTTAAATGACCATTCAACAGAGAGCATGAAAATAAATGAAAACGACGATGTGGATCAAAGTTGTTCACTCTACAAAGGCCACCATCATATGAATCGTACGGAAACAATGACTAAAAAAGCAAATACCGTGTATCAGTTCATTGAAGAAAAGCAGAAAATTTCGTTGTCAAAGGAAAGAAGAGCCGCCCGAACATTGGGTATAATAATGGGGGTTTTCATTTTATGTTGGGTGCCATTTTTTATTCTATATATTATCAAACCCTTTTGTCGAAAATGCTGCCCTTCGGATGAACTTATCGATTTTTTGACATGGCTAGGCTATATAAATTCGGCACTTAATCCGATTATTTACACGATTTTTAACCTAGACTACCGACGCGCATTTAAAAAATTACTGGGAATTAAATTTTAAAGTAACCCTGATATTATATGGATTGGTAAACGCATAAGTGGTTCAAAAAATATTTTTTTCAAAAATTTGATTATAGTTATTTCTATTAAAATTAAATAATAATTTGAACTATATTATATAAGCTATCGAAATTATTTTACTAGACTACGAGGAAATATAATTGTCGATTAATACAAGTCATACTGAAATTCAGTACTAGTAAAAGATTTTGAATACTGAATCTGACCGGTCTATCATGATTTGATTCTAGCTATGAAAAATTCTATTTGAAATTTCCAAACGAGATCTTGCCGTGGCTCTCCGGATTTTGGCCGCGCGACTACTAAATCTGAATTTTGGTAGCCATAGCACAGTAAGCACTTACAACACAGCACTTACAACAGTTTTTTGGTGATGGCTGCACGGTTTGGGGTTTTGAATGCACGATTTTTACACTCTTATGTTTTAGGCATTTCAAAATCAAGTTTAAACTTTGCGAAAACGGCCAAAAAATTAAAGCCAATAGTCAAAACATAAAATTTGGTCGAAAACAAGAAAAACTAACCTTATGAGTACACTCGATATGCGTTATGGGGCTTTGAAATCGTGATTTTCCCGAATTTGGTTGAATCCTAAAAATTGAACTTTCAAATGCGTGATTTAAGAATTTTTCAGGCCAAACCATAAACAAATAAAGTAAAGTTGTGAAAAATGGCCAAAAAATTCTAAATTAGCAAAAAACCTAATCACTTGGTACGGTTTTTGAGTCCAAATATGCAAAAATATCATTTTTCGTATATTCTCAATATTTAAATTTCAAATGCGTGATTTAAGAATATTTCACGTTAAACCGTGGGTCAAATAAGGCAAAAGTTTTGGAGAATGGTCCAAAAAGTCTAAAACAGTAATAAAAAGCAAGCACTTTTGACCATTTTTGGGTTCAAATAGGCAAGAATATCAGTTTACGGACACCCTCTATATTTAAATTTCACATTATGGTGAATTGTTTTGGGAAATCTCGTTTTTCGACAGTCTGCCCATCCAAAACTTCTAGCCGGCTTCAAACCAAGCACCAAAAGCCATGTCTGTGGCTTGTTTATGGGGATAGCAGGTCAGCACAAGATCAAGATAGGTAAACGAGTTTTTTTTACAGAGATTACTATGGGATATTTTTATTCATATGGGATAGAAATATCGCATAAAAATAACAGATATTTTTCACGCGATGCGTTCAACGTTCAACGTTCAACGCGTTCAATGTTCAGAGTCCAAAATTATCTAATATTTTTCGCGCGTTGTGTTAAGCGAAACGCATAAATACACAATAGCGATTCTGTGTAGTGAAATCGGCTTTGCATATCCTTAGTTCACTGTAAAATGTTCTGTATTAAAACATTTGAGTTGAGCTGTGTTTGAGGTTTATTTTATAGACCAAGAGCTGATCGTACAAACAACTTTTTTTTCTGTGTACGTCAGATTTTCATAAAATTATCATCTTCAGAACATATTCCATCACAATTGTTCTACTTGTTTCAATTTAATTGGGCGGATCGCTTGATTCGCGGTTTTGTTCGCGCTACACGGAAAAGTATACTTTTTTTTCCCCAATACGGCAGATTTTGGTATTAAAATATTCGCTATGATCTAATTAGCTTAGAAAATAAAAAATCTGCCCATTTAATTGGGCAATTGCTTTGAAAATACATGATTTTCATTTCAAAAACATCGTACAATATTGCATGTT